TAACTATTACAAAAACACAAAATAAGTATAAATAAGTATTTATATTTGTGTGCAAGCTGTTTAGATTGTCAAAAAGCCTGTGTTTTTAGGGTTATTAACAAAGTTCATGTCCTCAGGCCAGTAATATTTGGGGTCATAAGTTTTTGCCATGGATATTTTATAGGTCAGAAGATAAAAAGTTTGGGAACCACTGTTTTACATTATAATAATAGCTCTGTCATTAGCTCATCCACAGCAGGATGTGTGGGAACAGAAAGTGAAAAGAGAAGTTTATTCTATGTTATTAATAATCTGTTCAATTTTACACAACATCACACCATCCCACATACTCAACATACACACCTACACTACACACACACACACACACACACACACAGCCATGTCTCCATCAGTTCCCTTGCAGGAGATGATTCGGACCATCAGGTCAGCCCGGACCCAGTGTGAGGAACGGGGTGTCATTCAGAAGGAGTGTGCAGCCATACGGGCCCAGTTCAGACAAAACGACAACGGGAGCCGATCACACAACCTGGCCAAGCTTCTCTACGTGCAYATGTTGGGCTACCCAGCTCACTTTGGTCAGGTGAGGGGATTTGGCTAATTCCTGTCATGAGTTAGCTTGGACTGAATGATATGTGAGTGTGGGAAAGCACACTWTGATCACTCAATACATCCCCAATTCTGACACCTGATAGACGTTCTGCAGCGAGGAGTGTGTGCAAATGTGTAATGAAACTAGCAGAGAAATGATGAATTGTATGCTACATCTATGTACATGCAAATATGTTCTCCCTTTTATTTGAACAGCGTAAATTGTGTTTTGTTCCCTCGAGCAAAGTCTGTCAAMGTCTGCAAATCTCCTGTAAGTAGGCCACTGAGTTCGCCTCAGCTCCAGCACCGTCTCACTGGAGCCGAGTTTGACTTGGCGCATTAGTGGTGTAAGGCATTTTTAAGTCACCCCACATTTTTCAGAGTTGTTATTTTTCGCACTAGATGGAGTGTGTGCGGATGATAGCCAGCCCCCGCTACAGCGAGAAGCGTGTCGGGTACCTGGGCGCCATGATGCTACTGGACGAGAAGCAGGATGCCAGCCTGCTCATCACTAACTCCATCAAGAAGTGAGGACACTTGTAATAAGGCATACAAAGAACTGGKTTTATAAATACAAGTGCTTATAAACATAATATTGGGATTTTTTGGGGGGTCATATATCAAAATTCACTTTTAAGGAATATGAAAAGTAAACAAAAAGACAACTAGCAAAGTAAAGTTTTGTAAAATATGATTTCTTTTTGCTTTCAGTGACTTGTCTCACAGTAACCAGTACGTCCAGTCTCTGGCTCTGTGCACCTTGGCCTGTATGGGTTCATCTGAGATGTGCAGGGATCTGGCACCAGAGATTGACAGGTTGCTGCGATCCTCCAACTCTTACATAAAGAAAAAGGTGAAATGTTTTTCGTTCATTCAGCAGTATCAAAAGGAATAGTTCAGATTTTGTTGAAGTCTTATTTTGTGAGCAGTAAGTATCTTACTTGTTGCAGAGCAGTGGTTCCCAAATGTTTCTGCTGACCCAAACAATAACTGAACAAATAGTAATAAACCAACAAAGAGCGTCATCAAATACGTGACCCATCACATCGAAATGAGGATTAAGTCAAATTTGTTCAAAATGACCTAATCATATTTTCAGATTCCTGGTTTTAAAAACTACATTTTGATACTTCGATCATCCTGATATCATTAGTAGATCCAGAGATATTATTTAATTTGTCTTRTTAGTTACAACAATGCATGAATATTTGGCCTGAATCCTAATTTTATGTAATTTTAATGAGGACTTTTTTAGTCATTTGAAAAAAGAAACCTCAAATAGTATTTGAATATTAAGATTTCCCAGCTGGAAAGAAACGAAAGCTTTGATAGCTCACAGGGAAATCTCAACATTTTAAGGCATTTTTCCTCAAAATCAGGTTTTTGGTTGCTAATGCTCAAAAATGTGCTTCAAAACTTTTTTAGCATAATATTTAAGATACTTCATTGAAATAATACATTGATAACACATTAATTTGTTTTATTTTGACAAAATGTAATTTTTGCAAACGTTTTAACCAAAACACTATATCTGCCTGTTTCTCCACATACAACTTTTAGACTTAATCCTTGTTTTGATGTGATGGGTCACWTATATGTTTTTTATGCATTTAAGACTATTATTTTTATCTCTTTTGTTGCGGTTAAAGCTAAATATGCTATTGGCAGTCATTTAAAAAGATAAATTTAATTTTCATAAATGCTGATAATAATGCATCAGTCTTATATAGCGCTTTTTAGGACACTCAGAGATGCTTTACAATATTCATTCATTCACACTAGGGCTGCCACAAACGATTATTTTTATAATCGTCACATTCATCTGACTTTTTCATCAGGAGGAGGAGCTGAAGGATCGACGAGACACTAACCTCAAGTCTCGCTG